GGGGACAGTGGTGCCTGGTTTGCAGGGTCATGAGAGAAGGAATGCTCAGTAGCTTTGAGGGAGTTCTTGACCCTGGAGATCTGACTCCTGTGCATGGGATCAGGGACTTTCTAGATCAGGGAGTCATGCTGCCAGGAAGGTGGTCAGGGTGAGGCTCCCAGTCCTCACCCAGGATTCAGACGGGAGGTTAGGAAAGAGGTGAAAGGGCTGAGGGCCACCAGAAGGGACTGAAGCTGGAATGGGGCTGGAGATGAGATGGATCAGTGCCCTGGAGCTGGGCAGCCTGGGGATTTGGTGATGGGGATGGAGAGAAGTCAGAAGTGGCTGACTGGGGACTCTGTGAGGGAACCTCCAGGGTACAGACCTACTTCTAAGAGACCTCTTAAGCAGGCTCCTTCCTTCTCTAGCAGCTGACCGGGCCTCCAGTGACTCACTGATATGCTGGGGATGGGCTTCTTGTGGCCCTGGAGGTAGGATGGGGAAGCTCAAGGCCCAGAAAGGAATCTTGGGGGCTTTAAAGGACTGCATCTTACTCACGCAAATCCAGGCCCAGGCCCACAGGGTCATAGGAGCTGAGGTTCCAATGGGGTGGGGCTGTGGGCTACACTCTGCTCCAGGGAACCCAGGGCCCAGCATCTAGGCTTCCATGCTTTCCAGACATAATAGAAAGGGCTTTGTTTCCTCTTAATGTCCCAGTAAAGCTCCTTCTGAAAAATCCTGACCTCGTCTCTGGTCTCTGCAGCACCAAGAGAAAGGAATTCGTRGTCACCCCTGCCAGGAAAGCTTAGGGGATCAGAAGGGGGAGRGAGACCACCTCCATTCCCCTGTCCAGACCCCGTGCTGGGCCCGCCCTCTCCACCACCTCAGTCCTCTCACCCCATTCTACAGATKAGGGGACTGAAGTGAGGGGAGGTGACCCACCAGGTCCACCTGAGGAGCTCTAGGGGGGTCATCAAGATTGGCCAAATCTGGGAACCTGGGTGAGCCAAGAAGTGCTGAGACAGCAGACTCCCCTTTTTACCGGAAGATCTCCCTACCATCTGTGGGGATTAATCCTCTCGTTTTCAGACATCTCCGCTATCAACATCCACAGAGCAGCAACAGCCGCTGACATTGATGGAATGCTTTGCAGAACCAGGCCCTGTGCTGAGTGCTGTTCTTGGTTATTTCCTTTAATCTCCACACTTGCTTTCTTGTTTCTTTTCATGGATGAGGAAACCAAGACTTCTTGGAATTGTGACATTCCTCATAGGCAGTAGAGTCAGGTGATTTCTGGTTGCCTGACTTTACTCGACAATCCCAAGCTCATCGGGTCACCTGAACCAAGCTCTCTCATTATCAAATAACTCTGCCTTCTTCATTACCCTCCGCATCCAGTCCCCTGCCTCCKAGCTAGGATCCAGCCACTGCTCTACCTCTATCGCATGGGGGCCTGAACTGCATTTTGCCCCACCCCAAGCAGATGGAACCCCATTCATGTTTGTGGCTGAATGAACAGAWAAATTAGAGGGCTCTGGCCTTGCTGTGTAGATACCAGCAGCTGGCTGGGTCTGGACATTTGGACTTGTCCAGTGGGATCTCATAGAGAGTCCCTAGGGAGTTAGATTCTGATACAGAGCTAAATGAGATCTGAGCTGGAGAAAGATGCAGTACCCTGAGGACTGGGACCTCTGCATCTCTTTGGGATGTAGATCTACACTGGTCCAGTCACTGGAACGGTGACTGGGAACTTGGCTGGCACAGAATGAATTGACACTTGACTGAGTACAAGGTCTTCAACCTCTGTTCTTCGTGAGGCTTCCCCACCAAGGAACCTGCCAGGGGCATGACCTGGAAAGGAAGCCACTTCCCAACAGTGTCTGCATCCCGCTATGCGAGGGAGCAGGTCCTTCATTGAGCACTGACTGAGCACTATTTATACATCCAGAACTGCGATGACAGAGATGGGCGGCAAAGACTCCGTGACCTGGAGGAGCCGCTGCAAAGTGTGGTGGGGAGCTGATCTTTGGGTAGACCTGTTCACCCAGCACCCTCTGGGGGTACAGTGAGCGTGGTTGGTCTCACAGATTGTGGGCTGGGGACCATGCATCCTGTGTGGCACTGGGTGAGCACGCAGGAAATGTTAGTGATGGTGCTACTTAACTGTTCCYTGTAGGTTTTTTGTTTCTTTGCTAGGTCATGTTTTGTGAGGACAGGGATGGTGACTACTCCTTCTCTTTGTCTTCCCAGATGCACAGCAAGTCATCCAGGGAAACTTATGGCAAGTCACATAGGAAACTTACAGGCATATCTTCAGCTCCTTCCTGCTCCTCACCCTCACATCCATTCAGTGATCAGGTCCCACTGATTCCAACTCCCAACCTCTCTCGCTTCAGTCTCAACCATTCCTTCTGTCACCTCTTTCCTGAATTCCTGTGCAACTTGCTAATGTGTCACCCTGCTGCTTGACTAAAATGGACTACAAATCACTCTGTGATGTGTAGTCAAAGTGACAATTCTTAGAAGGAGGTTTGGGCATGCCACTCTCCTACTTAGCAACACCACTCTCAGTGGCCCCATATTGCCTTGTGACATACAGAGATCCTTTCTACAGCCCTTCCGGGTCCTATGTCCAGGGGCCTCCCTATTCCCACCACTTGCTCCCAGCACTTGCAATCCTGACTGTGTTGCATTCTTCATGCATCTGTGACTTTGCATATGACCCCCGACATGGTGCCTTGTTCTTAGCATGTACTTGCCCACTTCAGCCTGCCCCCTAATTCTGTCCTCTCCTCAGGGCAGGCACTGCTGACGCCAGCAAGCCCTCTGAAATCCCCCTTCTGGGCTGGATAGAAACCTCTCCTCTGGGCTTCCAGAGCCCTCTGAGTTTACAAAGCACATATTCATTCATTCCACAAATATTTATTCCACAGAGCACCTCCTCTGTGCCAGGCATTATTCCAGGTGTTAGAGATACAGCGGTGAGCGAAGCAGCTGAAAGTYCCTGCCATGGAAGTGTGCATGTCCCACAAAACTACCCATAAGGGGTGAGAACCTGTCCCCACTGGAGGTGGGCTCCTGGAGAGCAGGGGGGGCTTCCTCAGTATTCAGCACTAGGTGTTGTTCCTAAGTGTTTTTGGATATTTGGTGCATTTCAGGAGCTATGCTTGATGCTGGGGAGGAAAAGTGAACATAGCAGGAATAAATATAATCTAGGGGCTCTGAGAGCAGCTAACGCAATGGTCAGAAGCACCGCTCTGGGCCCAGGTGCCGGAGTGCAGGACCTCAGTCTGCCACTTACTGGCAATGCAACCTTGAGCAAGCTACTTAACCTCTCCATGCCTCAGTTTCCCCATCTGAAAAATGGGTTAGAATACTAACTATCCTATAGTGTTGTCAAGAAGATTAAAAGTATCAATATTTGTAAAGTGCTTAGAATAGTGTCTGGCACACAGTAAGTACTTTATAAATAAGTAAATATTTAGCTGGGCATGGTGGTGCATGCCTATAATCCCAGTGGCTCGGGAGGCTGAGGCAGGAGGATCTCAAGTTCAAAACCAGCCTCAGCAACTTAGCAAGGCCCTAAGCAACTTAGTCAGACCCTCTCTCAAAGTAAAAAGAGGTTTGAGGGTATGACTCAGTGTTTATGCACCCCTGCTTTCAATACATGGTACCAAAATTTTTTTTATTAAACAAAGGAATTATAATACAGAGACTCTGAATGTAAAGAGTATTGGATTCAAATCTAGTACTTCCCTCTGCCAGCAAAGGCAAGTCAGGGAGTCAGGCTGAACCTGTTTTCTCATCTGTGAACTGGAGATAATAATATTTCCCTCTAAGAGGCTACATCTCCTGGGATTCTAAGAGTCCACATCTGTAGGGTAGAACCAGGCTTTTGCAAGGTACTTCTTCTACAGAGGCAAAAATCTGGATCCTGCCTTTGAGGGCCTTGTACTCAGATGCCACCCGCTCCATGAAGCATCCCTTGAATCCTGTGGTTTTGCCCTCACTGAACTCTCATGAACCCCTGGACCTCTTATGGGCTTTTGCTTTAAATTCCAGTTCTGAAACAAGCTGGTTGTGTGGCATTGAACAATCACTTTCCTTCTCTGAATCTGTGTGTGTGTGTGTGTGTGTGTGTGTGTGTGTGTGTGTATGTGTGTGTGTTAAATCTGTTAAGGGAGATAGAAATCACACTTAACAGAGGATCATTGCTGGAATCAAATGAGACAATGTCTGCAAAGCACCAAAAATGCGCCTGGAGTTAGTAGATGTTCAGTAAATGGCAACTCCCTTTCCTCATCTTCATCTTATCACGGTCCCCTGACTGGCCTGCCAGTTCATTGAAGAATCTGATTTAACTCTGTAGTTCCTGGACATGGCAGATGAGAAAGTCAGCAAAACCCATGGGAGGTTTTGAGTGCCGGGAGGCAAACCCATGGGTGCCTGTGCGGGTGGACGGGATGTTTCTTGGGTCTGCTCAGGAGCATTCCAACCCTTTGCTCCGTGAGATCCTCTTCCACACCCCTCCCACCTTGGGACCTCTGCACAGATGGAATCTTCCTCCTTTCCCTCAGGGTCTGGTCAACCATTCCTGTCTCAGCTCCAGGATCACTTCCTCCAATGCCCATCCCCACCTGCCCCCACACACAGCCCAGAGCCAGGTCACCGTCTAAGGTCAGAGCCAAAGTACTTTGAAGAAGTACTAATTGTTTCTACCCCCACTGGGATATAGACCCCTCGGGAGCAGGGAGAGTGCATTTATGTATCCCAAGAGCTCAGCACTGTGCCGTCCAAAGAACAGGCTCTCAACATCTGTTGAAGAAAAGTTGGCCTCTGGGTGAAGAAACCAGCCCTCTTGGTTGGCTGCATCTATACCAGCTCCTTGCTCTTTGCCAGCCCAGCATCCTGTCCTGGAACCCTAAGCAAGCTAGGCCCCCCGCTTTCTCTCCTGTCCATGAGCAGTAAGGGTGCATGGGGGTCCCTGAGGTAAGTTGAGGGAGAGGGGGTGCCAGGCATACCTCTGTCACAATGGTGTCCCTGGTGGCGTTGTAGACCCAGCCGTCCAGGCACGGCTCGGTGGCCCCCTGGGTGTCATTGGGCAGGCTGGTGTTGGGCAGATGTACGAAACGGAGGCACTTCTCAGGCTCCCCATTCGGGCCCATGGGGAGTACCCAGGGCCCTGCAGAGGTGTTGGGAGGCGGGCGACAGTGGTGGGCAGGGGTGGTGGCTGTGAAGATCTGCAGCAGGTTGTGGTTGGCCATGCCGAGGATTGGGAGGGCGAGCAAGGTCACATGTAGGTACTGGAAGGGGCCCATGCTGCCCACTCGGTCCAGAATCTCGGGGAAGGTCATGGTTCCAGGCAAGACGAGCCAGAACTGTAGGCAAGGCAACAGGTGGGGGGGAGGTGTGTGTGGATGTGTGCATGTGAGCCCGGGGAAGACTGCAGAAGCATGTGGATGAGGACGTGCCCAGATGTGTGTGTGAGCATGAGTGTGTGGTGCTGTTTGTATGTGTAAGATGTGGGGGCTCAGGTGTGTGCATAGATTCATGTATGGATGTACAAGGATGAGCCAGGTGCATGGAGAGATGGGGGATATCAGGTGTGGGCGTGTGCCCAGGTGTGTGGGCGTAGAGGTGTCTACAGGTACAGGTACATTGAGGCTGGAGCATAAAACGCTCAGCCGGGTGACTCTGCGCGCGTGTGTTGTATGTGTGCACTTGTGGGTGAATGTGTGTGCTCAGCTAGACTGGTCACACAGGCTGCATATATGGGACAGTGCAGGCCACACAGAAAGTACCAAGAGGACCGGCGTTGGATGTTGGCTATGCAGGATGGATAGTGGGGTTGGGTGGGGACGTCCTGATTGTTTCAGGCAGACACACAAGGCTAGACGACCCAGGCTGCCTGTTAAGAAGGGCCTCCCCAAGCCTAAGCTCTAAGCCTCCTGACTTTTGGTTGTTCCCTGGGGCTAGGACCCTCCATGCTGGAATATCAGAAAGAACCCAAGTAGGTCCCAGAGGGCACTAGAGACTCTCCCAGAAATGGTGGAAAAGTAGGGTCTGGCCTTGCGGGGTAGGTAGGGAGGGGTCCTGGGTGTTGGGCTTGAGGGCCCTCCATCCCTTCTCACCTGGTGGCTGGGTCTGGCTTTGGAGGAGCTGGAGGTAGATGGAGACGAGGTCCCTGCTCTGTCCTAGGGTCCGGCAGCTGCTGAGGTTGGACAGCTCAGCTCTAACAAGCGGTGTTTGTGCCTCCCTCAGGGGGGCCTTATATAAGGCATAAGCTGTTTCTGGGCTAATGTTTGACTTTCTTGGGAGGATTAACATCACTGGCAGGGAGAGTGCTGTGGACCCACCAAGCCCAGCTCTCCAGAAAGGGCTGCCTCAGCAAAGGCTGATGGGAGTGGGGGGTAGGGGTGGTGGAGGGGGACTGTGTGGCTGAGCGTAGCAGGGGTGCCGGCTGGAAGAGGGCTGGGCAACCCAGGCAGACTCACCTAATAGAGTGTCTGGGAAGGGGTCTGGCCTGAGCCCTGATAGTCCAGGGTCCAGGGTTCCTTGACTCTGATGTTCTGAGAAAGACCAATGGGAGAGCAGCTATTGCCAGTGGGCAGATAGCATTCTCTACCAGATCACCTATTTCTGCCTCCCAGGTAGGTGCAGGGGGGTTGCCTCCCAGGAAGTATCAGGACATATCCAGATAGAAAATGTCCCTGACATCTGTCCTTAGGCCCAGGGCTGCCGTAMATTGGCCCCCTGGAACAACTAGGGTCTCCCCTGCCTGAGACTCTGCCACAGGCCACCCCTTGCATCCTACTCTCAATGGACACAAGTGGATGCTTCCTTCTGAGGACCAACTATAGTCTCTATACKTTTTGTTTCTCTGAATATAATTTTAATTATATAATAACATGTTTCTTGCACAAAATGTAGGGTATACAGACAAGCCAAATCAAACCAAACTAAATATACACGGTTTACTGGAGAGTCAACCAGGAAGAGTTTAGGTATGTTCTTCTAGCCCTTTCTTCTGCAAATATTTTCATTTAAGACAAGAARCCAATTATAGGGTCCATGAACCCTCACAATAGCCATGTTACTCTTTGGCATAATCAATTAGGAAACAGAGAGGTTAAGTAACTTGCCCAGGGTCCCCCAGTCAGGAAAAGTGGCCGGGCGGGGGCAGCATGGCTCTAAGCCCATTTCTGATCCTCAGGGCCAATGTTCTCTGTGTCTATGGGGCACTGTGCTATGTTGCTTCTCCCTTAGCAAAGTCACCTCGCCTGGTCTCCTTCATCACCCCTGCCTGACTTGTCTTTTCCTATGTCCAGGGACCCCTGGGTGCTGCCCATCCTGCTGGCTCTGGGGCTAGGAAGGGGCACACTTAGGGCTCACCTTCCTGGCTCTCCTTCTCCTCTTCCTGGCCCCCTTGTCCACCAAGGAGGCATCCGGCCCCAGCGCTCAGCCTGGGTTCCTCCTGCTGAAGTGCCCCCAGCTCTTGCCCCCTACTGCAGGGCAGGCTCAGCGGCTAAGCCGTCCCGGTCCTGCCCCTCCTCTCCACTTACCACCTGGGCTCAGCAGTTATTGATGTTCTCCCAGTGGCCTGAGGCAGGGCAAGATCCGGAGTCATCAAAGGAAGATTAAATTATGCTCCAAGGCAGCCAAGGGGTTGTTTTAGGAAGGTTTTTGACTGTGAGGCTTGCAGGGAGTTGGGCTGCAGCTCCYAGCCCCCCCTGTTCTGGGTATTGGCCCTCTTAGAGATTTTCTGGTTCTTAATTGGCCTGGGTTATCCGTCTGTTCCTGACCTAGTGGAATGTTGTTTAAAGGCGCCTGGAGACTTCCCTGAGGCTGCTGGGGTTGAGCCAGAGTATACATATCCCAACTGCCCAGTCAGGGGTGGTCCCATCCGGGCAGCGCCCCCAGGCCCCAACGGATATGATTTGGTTCCTGATACCTGGATCAAGGCTACTGGGAATTGTGTGATGCACTTGTGTGACCTTGGGGAAAAAAAAATCACCTCTCCCTTGGCCTCTTGCTTCTCATCATTAGTTAAATGGCTTTTTCAAAAAAGCATCAGAAACCTTTTATTCAAACAATATATCGGGTTCATAAAATCAATATATAAAGCAGACAATAGGGGAGGTGCTCTGGATGAGGTGGGGGAGAAGGTGGCCAGAAGGGTAACCCTTCTTCACCTCACTCCCCCGCATACTCTTAAATCCTCTGCCCTAGGCTGCCCCTGCCAGATGCATCTCCACTATATTAGGGGACACATCACTTCTTCCATGCTGTGATCCTGAATTGAATATGTTCAAATTGACTTTTGTTTTAAAAAGAATTTATGTATTTGGGAAATCTTACATGCTAAATGCATTTTAATTAGAGATATAGAAATAGATTTTTTCTCTTTTTCTTCTCTCCCTCTCTCTCTTCCTCTMCCTTTCTTTCTTTTTCTTTTCATCTTTGTCTAAACTCTTCCAGGATCTCCTTTAAGCTTAGCTAGGTCCAGGCATTTTCCCCTGGTTTCTGCCAGATCCCAAGAGGGATGTGTGTTTTGAGCTGGATGGGTCCAAGAAATCATCAAGGCCAGTGTCTTCATCTTCCCCATGGGAGATTGAGGTCCATTGAGAAGGGGCACAGGTCTGATTCCCAGTGGCCTTGGCACCTCCACARTAGACAGCCTTTCTTAGTCTTAAAATCTTGCAGGCAGAGGAATCTTGTTCCCCAGGAGCAGTGGGGGAGCAGGAAGCCTCACTGAACTTTCTGTGGGCCATCTTCTCTCTCTCTCTCTCTCTCTTTTTTTAAAAATCATTTTTTTTTGTTGTCGATGGGGACTTCACTTATTTATTTGTATGTGGKGCTGAGAATTGAACTAGTGCCTCACATATGCGAGGCAAGCGCTCTACCGCTGAGCCCCAGCCCCAGCCCTGGCCATCTACTCTTCTACCATGTATTCTTCTATCCATCCATCTCTTCCTTTCCATCCAATATAGATCATGAGGCCCTGTGCTGGCAGTTATGATGCCTGCCCTCCTCCCCTCTGGTCTGCTTGTTAGTGCTGACAGCAACCCAGAAGCAAAGGAGCACGCAGAGACTGACCTCAACACCACAGGAACGCCCAGCTTTGAGAAACTGGATTGGAGTAGTCTGGAGAAAGTGTCTTTGACACCAGCCTTTGATGACAGTGGGTGGACTGGGGTCAACAGGTAGAATTGGAGAAGGGTGTGAGTATAGGATGGACTGGGGAAACGAGAGACAAGATGGATGAATTAGTTTCGGTAGAATCTCTCCTCTCTCCGAGCTTGGTGGCCTTGGTCTCAGGGGCTGGGCATCTCTGTGACAGCCTGAGGGGTCATGATTTACTGGACTTCTCTGTACCCCTGGGAATAGAAGAGGGAAAGCTCTTAAGGTGTGTGAGACAAATGAGGCACCAGGAATTGACTGGGTCATACTCAGTGGTGCCCAAGTTCACTGGGCAGAGACTGGGTCTCTCTCTCCTTAGGACGATTCCACCTGGCAGGTGGCCTGCTGCTGCCTGCCTGCTCTCCACTTCCTCAAGGGTTCAAGGCAGGCGCTGTATACCTGTGACTCCTGTCCTGCTGTTCAGAATGGCCCCAGGTGGGGATGGTGAAGCATTCAGTAAATTCCAAAGGGCCAGGAGCGATTCTTCCCTGGTAGCTGAGCAGGGGCCTCTCAGCTCTGGAATCAGTCTCRGCCTTATTAGAGACCACAGACTCAGCCCCAGTCCTTGGGCAGCTCCAACAGTATAGGTGGCCTGTGTGGGGAGGCTTCAGGCTGGATCCGGGCAAGAGGAGTCCTCTGCCCTCAAAGTCAAATCCCTCCCTCCTCTCCATGGGCTGATTCTAAAATTGCCTTCATAGGATCCAGGTCATTCAGGGAAGGGGATTCCACAGAGCTGGATGTGAACCTTGACTCCCCTTCCACGAGCTAGCCTTGGGCTGGTGATAACTTCCTTTCAAGTCTCATTTTTACCAGTAAAAATGGGCATATAGGATGGTGGAGATTTTATATATAAAGTACATAAAGCCTGAGCAGAGAGCCAAGCACATAGTATTTAATCTGAGGGTCTGCTCYGAGGGAAGAGGCCTCAGAAAGGCTGGGCGCTCCTGGAAAAAGAGGAGGAAGAAAAGGCTGCTGGAAGAAGGCAGGAGGGTACCCTTTGGTCCCTRGGGTACTGGCTGGATGGACTTTGAGGAGGCTGGACCTCTTGGTACCTCTCTGGGTACCTGGAACATGCTGTGGTCCAGCCGAACCTGCAGGAGTCCATCACTTTCCAGGCAGGCTGTGCCTCAGCTGTCATGGCAGGTGGCAAAGGGCAGGGACACAGGACACTTCC